CCTGTTGGGTAGACAGGCCAGACACTGGAGGAAAAGGGGCGAGCCCCAAGCCCTGCCTCTGGCCGGGAAAGCCCCTAATACTTTTATCCCAAGCTTCCCTAACACCATGTGGGCCCCAGCAATTTGCCCCTCCACCTCCTTGCTCCAAAAGGTGGGGATTCAGAGGCCAGGGACCCACCTGTTACTTGCACAGCACCCTCTGGTGGTCAGATCCGGAAGGACAAGAGTGACTGGGAGGGGCTCACCTCTCGCGGACATTCCGTCTCTCAAGAGTGAACGTGGGTCATCTGGAGAGTTCAGCACCCCACACCACCCCCAGGACACTGCTGTTACCATGGGGGACACATGAGCACAGCACGTACAGAGAGGGCCCAGAATCCAGCCGGACCGACCAGCCTCCAGGACTCCCCAGCCACTTACTCTCTGTGGTACCTCATTTGGCCTCTGCAAAGTGGGGTCAGTAGCAACGGTGTGTCAGTGTGCAGATCACAGCAGGACACACGTGCTGTGGGGCTGCCTGTGTCTGTGCTGTTGGCAGCAGGGGTCCCGTGGGTCCTGGAAGGTGGGCCGAATGGCTTAGCAGCAGGATTGACAGAGAGCACGTGCAGCAGACTCCGCACAGGGCCCAGCCTGTAGCGGGCACACATGTGTGTTCAGGCCATTTCTTTGTGTTTGCTTTGTTGTTGTTGTTGTTGTTGTTTGCCATCGAGTCGGCCCCGACTCCATTATTTGTTAAGTTGGGAAAGAAACGTGTGCTTGTAGCAAAAATTCAATCAGTGCTGTTATCTGAGCCAAAAATTATTGTTTCCTCCATTCCCAGCTTCTGGAGGAGGAAACAGACATTAAGCATTGTTATATATACAATAAGGAGCTCTGGTGGCTCAGTGCCTAAAGCATTTGACTGCTAACCAGAAGGTTGGCGGTTCAAACCCACCAGCCACTCTGTGGAAGGAAGACTGGGCAATCGACTTCCATGAGGATTTACCACCTTGGAAATCGAAAGGGGGTCGCTGTGAGTCGGAATCGACTCGATGGCAGTGAGTTTGGTCTGGTTTGGTTTTATATATACAATGAATTACATACAATAAATCCTATGTAGTTATATATGGAACCACACTACCAGTAATACACTGAAGCCTCACCACTGTGCTCGGGTTCCCAAGACCAGGTCGTTATGCGAAAAAGGAGGGTGACCACATCAGATCACAAAATTCATCATTACCTGAGTCCCAGGCTGCTGAGAATCACTGCCCAGCAAAGCTGACACAACCCTAACCGTCACAGCCCGTGTTCCTCCTGACTGGCATTTCTTGGCCGCACCTCTCGCCTCAGACTTCAGTGTTCGTTGCCTCTTCCAGATGTGGGTCGTTAATGCACAAAATAGTCCATTAGCAGATTGTTAACTGTTCTGGAGTGTTGTTCACGAGCTAGTGAGTGAGGAGTGTTGTTATTTGCCATCGAGTTGGCCCTGACTCATAGCGACCCCTCCTTGGGTTTCCGAGGCAGTATCACTACGGAAGTAGGAATGCCCAACCTTCCTTCCGAGGAGTGCCTGGTGAGTTTGAACTGCCAGCCTTCTGGTTAACAGTCAAGTGCCTTAGGCACTATGCTACCAGAGCTCCTGAGTGAGGAGTAGGTGTAGTTAATTAACGTTTGTCCATTGCTTACTACAGGCCAGAGACTGCCCTCCATGCTTTTTCTTATTAACCTGTCTAACCTTTATAATAGAGTCCTCACAGCCACCCTGGGAAATAGGAGTCATTATTGTCCCCCTTTACAGATACAAACCAGAAGGTCAGCAGTTCAAACCCACCAGGTACTCCAAGGGAGGAAGATGGGACAGTCTCCTTCCATAAAGGTTTATAGCCTTGGAAACCCAATGGTTGCTGTGAGTTGGAATCGACTCAACGGCAGTAGGTTTTATAGATGAGAAACCTGAAGCATAGATTCAGTGACTTGTCACAGGTCATGTTCCTCATAAGTGGCCAAGTGACCAGAGCCTGTTATCTGAACCAGCGGCAGTACTCCCTTCCTGTGTATGTCTTTCTGCAACATGTCCACTCATCCCCACCCATCCCTGCCCTTGAAATCCTGTACTAAGGACGTGTTTCCGTGTCAGTAGGTAAATACCTCATTCTTTTTCAAGACTGCAAACTGTAATTACTAACCACAGAACGCCTGCTTCCTGTAGGGTCTGGGGAGATCCTGAATGGTACCCTGGAGGGGCTTCACACTGTGGACGGTGACCCCATCACAGACAGTGGCTCAGGGGATGGGGCCTTCCCTGGTGTCCTCGAAGAAAAGGTGAGTAAGTGGGGAATTTCACCAAGTCAGGAGTGTGTCTGCTTATTTTAAACTTGATAGTGACTTTCATTGGGTATCCTCGACAGTCAGGAGTGTTTTAGTTGAAAGGTATGAAGGCTGCCTCCTTCCTCACGGTACAGGGCAGGCAAGGAGTCCCAGGACCCCAGAGGCTCTGCAGGGGTGTCCAGGACAAGGGGGGAGTGCAGCTCAAGCTGTCCTCACACCCGGGGGCCCCTCTCCCCTCCCCAGGTAACCACCTCCCTCCGGCTCAACTCAGAAGATGCCACGGGTTCTTGAGCCCTTTGAACGAGTGTTGCTACTCTATGGGGATTGCAGTCAGTGCCACAAAACACAATGTGCACGAACTGTTGAATGGAAAACCAATCTTCTCTGTCAACTGTTCACTCAAATGGCAACACAAAGTTTAAGAAAACAACTACAGAATCCGATGAGCTGCAGGTGTGCCTGCCCTATTTGCTGATTGGCTTTGACACTTGTGAAGCCAGGTTTTGAAACACTGGACACAGTGGGGTACAAAATTCCAGCAAATACATTTTTCTTATGCTAACAACCCACAGGGGCAGCTCGTTCTTTCCCTATCCCATGAGGGAAACTCAGTTCTCGTAGCTTCAGGTCACCATCAGATAACAGCCTGTTTTCACAGGTATTTTAAAAGCCCGTCCTAGTCCAGTGTAATATCAAAACTTCACCAGAAATACAACTCCAGCTTCTTCCCTTCTGTACTCAGGCCTGTGACAGGCCAGGACCTGTGACGGGGAAGGGGGCGAGGGGTGGTAGTTTCCTTCCCGATTTCTTCTTTCCATTCTCCCCGCCACACACCCCTTCCCCGTCACACAGCCCTGTCCTGCAAAGAGCAGTTTTGAACACAAGCACAGTCTTGCCTACCTGGGGCTGTTTCAAGGAGAAGAGGCACAGTTCCACCTGGTGGTTAGATTGTGACCTGGCCCTTTTGTGTGGAAGATGCTGGGACTGTCTCTCCTGGGGGCCTCTGTGACCCCTTGGAGAGTCTCACATAGGAACATGCTTTCAAACTAAAGGAACTACAGAAATGCAGGTGGTGGTAGGAGCCCCAACAGCCTTTTCTCTGCAGCACAGATAGCTTGGTCGGGGCTGTAGGCTCAGTGACGTGGTCTCTTGTGATGGCTTTATTCTCAGGGTCCACATGCTGAAGAAGGTTTAGCAGCCACCACAGCAGCTGGGGAGACGGAGGGGCCCATCAATACCACCTGGGAAGCAGAGGCAGGCAGTGTGCCCACTGGGGGGCTGGCCCTCTCCACGCCCACTGAGGAGCCCGGAGAGTGGGTCACTCCAGTAAGTAGCACAGAGTACACACAAACTTCCCACCCTCTGGCGGTGTGGGGGTGACTCTTGGGTGGGAGCAGTCACGGGCCTTCCTCCTCTGTGTGCACGGTGCAGACAAGGGCCTCTGTGGGCCGGAGCCCGAGTGGACGCCGAGCAGGGAGGCTGGGGCTGGGAGTGACTCTCAGAGCAGCTGGTCTCGGAGTGCTGCACCGTGGTGGGTGCTTAGTAGATCAGAGGACGATCCTGGGGTCAGAGTGGGAAGTGGGCAATAGGAGCAGCTCTGGGTGCACAGAAGGGAAGGCCGTGACCCACCCTCAGGGCAGAGAAGCCCTAGGAACGGGTACCACAGGTGAGACCAGGAGGAGGAGCTTTGGGATGGGGGCAGGAGGCTGGTGGCCCAGCAGGAGCAGAGGCCTGGAGGTATAAAGGTGACCCTGGGAAGACTTGTAGTTCAGCACACCAGGGGTGCCGCGTGTGAGTGGACAGGGGAAACATGAGGCTGGTGCAAACTCTGAGACCATGACAAGTGTATGCAGGAGAAAGGGGAGCCACCGGGGGGTGTGAACAAGGAAGGATTCTAGAAGGATCACCCTGACTATGGAGGGAGAAAGGATGGAGAAGCCTGGAGGTGGGGAGCTGCATCCGTGGTCCAGGCAAGGGATGGCGTTAGCTCACACTAGGGCCCTGCTGGTGCCACGGGTAAGCACTGAGCTGCTAATCAAAAGGTTGGCTGTTTGAACCCAGCCATTGTTTCTGCAGGAGAAGGACTTGGCATTCTGCTCCTATAGAGATTACAGCCTAAAAAGCCCATGGGTGGGTCTGCGCCACCACGTGGGGTCACTGTTGGTCAAAGTTGACACCACACACCTGACAAAAACAATGAAGGCCTTGGCCAACAGTATCGGATGCTGCCAAAGTGCCAGTGATAACTTAGGGCTGGAAAGTGTCCGTTGGATTTGTAAACTTGACCATAGTTGACCTTGGGGAGAGGTTGGGCATGTGGGAGGGCTGGGAGCCAGATTGCACTGGGCTGGGGGGAGAGCGAGGTGAGGAAGTGGTCAGTGAGTGTCGACAACTCCCAACAAGAAAGCTACCAAGTCCGAGGACCTGGGTGTTGTCCCAGCATGAGGGCTTCAGCTCTCAGCAGAAACCGCACTCTCAGGAGTGTGGACGGAAGTTGGAAGGGCCTCCTGGTGAGCGCCACAGGTCAGCAGGTGGGAGGTGGCTGGATCCCGCTGGGGAGGTGCCGGAGAGGGACTCACACCCTGCGTGGTCTCCAAGAGTCCCGCTCCTGTGCTGGTGCAGTTGGGGGCAGTGGTGCAAGGCGAGGGCTTGGATGGGCGGGTGCTTTGAAGGTTTGGAAGTGACAGGGCCCAGTCTGCTCTCTCTAGCCACAGGCATGCTGCATCAGGGTTGGGGGTCAATGACGCAGTCCCTTGTCACGTCTTCCTTTTCAGAGTCTGGATGATGAAAGTTCAGCAGCAACAGCAGCCACGGAGGCCGAGGAGCCTGCCAGTGGTGCTGGGGAAGCCGAGACCGGCAGTGTGCCTACCCAGGAGCCGGCCCTCACCACGGCCACAGAGAACCTGGGGGAAGAGGCTACTCTGGTGAGGGGCGTTGGTGGCTGGGAGCTTGAGGTTGTGGCTGGGAGCAGCCACTGGCCTTCCCCCCTGACCCAGGACAGGCACTCAGGGAAGATCTGCCACGTGAATGAATGGAGTGGGGGTATCAAGCCTTGGAGATCAGCACTGGCCTTTGGGGTCATTCACACACTTGTTCTTCTGCCCAGGCAGCCTTCGGCCTCTGGTCCAATGGCCATCTGGGGATACGTTCTAGTGGGTAGGGCACACATGACAGGGCCCTCCAGGCCACTTGCATAAAAACTGCAGAACCAAACTCACTGCCATTGAGTCAATTCTGACTCATAACAACCACCTTTGAGTTTCTGAGGTAGTAAATCTTTACAGAAGTAGATTGCCCAGTCTTGCTTCCATAGAGTGGCTGGTAGGTTTGAACTACCAGCCTTCTGGTTAGCAGTCAGATGTCTTAGGCACTGCACCACCACTTGCATAGGCTGCTTCCGTTAGCAAAGTGGTCACTGTCATCGCCTTAACTGTCATTGTGTTCCTCCTTCCCCTCCTCCTCTTCCTCCTCTTCCTTTACTTCCTCCTCTCCCTCCTCCTCCAGCCCGAATCTCATTCTTCTTCAAAGGCAAGCACTGCTCACAGGACAAGACAACCAGGCCCCAGTTCCACCAAGTCTTAGTTTAATACGTAGAAAGCAGCCCTTGAGTAGCAGCTGTCGGAAAGTAGGAGGGCTCCTTGTGGAGTGGTGAGCTCCCAGCTTCTGGAGCTCTGTAGGCTGAGGCCAGATAAGCCTTGGCAGAGATGTACTGGGGGGTTGAGGGGCTGGGCACGGGGCTGGCTGACCTGAGAGCTGCATTCTAACCTGGGCTCCCAGGGCTCTGTGGGCCAAGGCTGGCCTCAGATGAACAATGGAAGGGAAGCTGTGAAGATACCAGTTACCTGGTGGCCCCAGGAGTGTCCTGCCTGCAGCCACCCACCCGCTGACCCAGAGCAGGGGTGAAATGGCACCATCCCACATGCCAGTGTTGTTTCAGGGTCCGGATGGTGAAGAAAGTTGGACAGTAGCAGCAACTATGACAGAAGTGATGCTCAGTCCCACTGAGGAGGAGGAGGAGGCCAGTGGGGTCCCCACAGACGGGCTGCCCCTCATGACACCCACAGTAGCTCCTGGAGGAGGGAGCACTTCGGTAAGTGTCACCTAGGCCCTCTTGGCCTCAGCCTGGCTCACAGAGAAGAGAGAGGTTGGGGCCGTGGGCCAGAACAGTTGCTGGCCTTCCCAGAGGCAGATGAGCACTTAGTTTCGTGATGGGTGCAGAGTTGGGCATGCCCCACCTCGAGGGCAGCAAGATATGATGGATGGAGCAGCGCAGAGGAAGCTAAGAGTCGGTTTTGTCCTAACCCCACACCCTCCCTCCAAGAACTTCCCTGGAGGCAGAGCGGCTCAGCACTGGAAGGGGCTCAGGAGAGATGTGAGCTCCCCTCGCTGGGCGTGGGGGTGCGCCTCGGAGGAGCTGCCTATTTCAGCAGGGGGTGCACTCTCAGAGAGTGTTGAGGGTGAGGAAGCTGGAGGTAACGAGTGTATAGAAGTTGGCTTAGCATCACAGAAAGGACAAATATTAAAAATCCCTGGCAGCTCTGAGTCGGAATCACCTCGAGAGCAGTAGGTTTGGGTGTGGGTTTGACAGCCGTGCACAAGTTGCTCCGTGGGTGAGATAACCAAGTCCTCGTACTGCTCTTCTCTCCAGGGTCCTGGCCAAGAAGAAGATTGGTCAGCAGCAACAGAGGGGCCCCTGGCGGTGACTTGGGGAGAAGGGTCTGGTAGCGCTCCCCTGGATGGGCCACCGCCACTCCCTGTACCCACAACGGTTCCTGAAAGAGCAGTCACTCCAGTAAGTGGTGTAAAGACTTGACTTGACAAATCTTACGGGGAGAGAAAGAGGGACCAGAATTGTGGACGGGGTCTCCCTGGCTTTCTCAGAGGTGGGCTTTCATTTTGGCATATAAAGTGCCAGATTTGGGCATTTTGAGGACTTCCAACCAGGAGAAGACTCAAGGATTGTGCAGTTCGTGGAGGAAGAAACAGAGGAAGGCATCTGGGTGACCTGGCTTCATGCCCTAAATTCCAACCTCTTCAATCAGGAAGAGTTTTCTAGCAGGAAGACTGTCCGTAGTTGGGGGGTCCAGCTCAGATACCCTGAGATTCCCGTCCTGGGAGTGGGAGAGCAGCTGGGGCATCAGCGTGTGTGAGGATAGGTGATGGGCCTCTGTGACTCTGCGCCGCAGCTGAATGACCTGAAGCAGGTCCTTCCCTGGCTGGGCCTCCGCTTCCTCATCTGCACAGGAGCTACGACATCAGGTTCCAAGAGGCAGCTTGGATGGCTCGGTGCATACGGGGGTCTGTCACCACATTAAGTGCTGTGGCTGTCTTTCAAAAACAAGAAACCAGAGCTGATCCTCAGCGTGGGCTGGTGTGAATCAGGGGATGAAGATGCTCTTCAGATGTGAACGTTTTTCCAGGAAAGCATTCCATTGGTGACCAGCTTGGGCCTATCCGGTTCCCGAGTAACTCTTGGTCACAAGCACTTGGAAAGTCATGACTCAAGCTACTGGTATGTGGTCTGTGCGCCACAAGGCTCCAGGACTGACCTGAGAGGAGAGAGGCTGTGGGACAGGAGGGCTGAGAGGGAAATTCCCAAATGCCCATTGCCGCACGTCCTCTTCCAGGCATCCAGTGGTCGTCACATGTTGTCTGTTCCATTTGTTACTGTCTGGTTATTTCGAGCTGTCCATGCATTTATTGATTCGTTCTTTGAGTCAACACACATCAGCTTAGGTCTCCCAGTCGAAGTACTTGGGGACAGAGATGAAGATGATCTAGCTCTTGTCCTAAGCAGTTGACAGTGTGGGGCGTTAGCTCAGGGCTCTCAGTCCAGACTTGGAGCTGGATGAACATGACCTATTTCCCATCCCCAAGGAATTCTCAGTCAAAGTGGGACAGGAAATAAGCTGTTTGTGAGCTGACGTTTATTAAGCTCTCTGCTCCAAATTTGGCTAATTTAATCACACCCTCACTCTCTGGTGTGAGGTGACTGGTCTCCATCTGACAGGTGAGGGAAGTGAGGCGTGGGCAACAGAACCTGCCCACTGCTGCCTCCCTCTGAGAGGCAGAGCAGGGATTTGAACCCTGGGCGGGGTGGCCCGCAAAGCTCCTGCCCCGGAGGTTTACCAGCTGATGTTCTCGTCCTTGAGGACATGGTGTGGTGAAAGGTCCGGGGCCGGGGACTGAGGTTCCCCTGCCCAGTTTGCCACTGACTCAAGGTGTTTCCTGAGCCTTAGTGCCACCCTCTCTAGGAGGGAGCTGTCTAAGAGCTGTGGTTTCTAACCTTGGCTGCACTTCGTGGCTACCTGGGAGGCTTACAACACTACAGGTGTCTGGGGCCCATCCTGGACCAGTTAAGTGCGACCCTGGTGCTGGCTCTCAGGCTTCTGGGCGATTCTATGGGCAGCAGCTCTGGGACCTATGGCGTGTGGCCCCCGGTGCACTAGTGACTTCTTTAACCAAGCCCCCTTCTTTTCTGCTGCTCTCCCCAAGGTGCTGTATATGCAGAACTCCAAGGCCAAGTCTCCCCCTAGTGA